CCCAGAGGGCGCAATGCCTCGCCCCAGGTCACACAGCAGCAAAGGGGCAGAACTGGACAGCCTGTCCCCAAGGAAGAGGAAACGTGGTGGGTGGGGTGGCAGATCCCCTCTCCTGGCATCCGGCTGTGGTCTCAGGGGCTCAGCCACTGCAGGATTCCAGCCATGCTGCCAAGCCTCCCTACAAATCCATGCAGAGCTGCATATACTCTGGGCTCTTTGTCGGGAAGGCACAGAAAATAAAATAATAATAAAGGAAAAGAAATAGAACAGCCCAGCTAAGCTGAAATGCTCTCCTATGGGGAAGGGAAATAAAATTTGATGAACCTCTCAGCATAATGTTCGCATTATGAACGTGTGAAGTGATATTTGGCATGTAAGCAGGGAGGTGTTCATCCCAGGGCCTGAGCTGCTGGGACCCTTGGAACTGGGGCACCAGTAAATGGCAGCTTCTTGCTGATGTGGTGCAAAGAGGTGCTGGCGTCTGCCTCTGCAGGACAAGGTTCCACCCGCGGGTGCCCCCGAAGCGGGTGTCCCAGAGCTGAGTGGCCACGGATCACAGTGTGGAGGGGAGGTGTTGGACGCTATGTGCCAACTCGGGGCCATGAGCCAAGCTGGGCACTGCCATCTTCCTCAGCCTGGGGCCAGGTGAGCCATGTGCCAGGTCAGCCTGAGGGCTCGGCCACTGCTGAATGGCCGGGGACAGAAAGTCTGACCCACGCTGGACCCTCACATGGAGGCTCTGGCATGGAGGCTCTGGGAGGTTGAACCAGGGAGATGATGACGGGGCTGCAGCTGAGAGGGCACAAGGGAGCCAGGGTGAGGCCTCCAAGGAGGAGCCGGCGGGCACCAGAACACCCCAAATGAGCACTTAGCTTGACCCAATTCTAGGTGCCCGGGACACAATGGGGAGCATGACAGCAAAGGCCTTCCATCACAGAGCTCACCGTCTGCAAACCAGCAAACAGAAACAGAGCAAATACTGGCAGCCTGTGTCACAAGCTTTGAAAAAGTAAGTAGTGGGGTAAAGAGTACCCAGGAAAGGTGTGGGGGCATGCACATTTAGACCAAGTGATGAGGAAAGGCCTCACAGAAGCATCCAGGCAGGGGGCGCAGCAGGTACAAAGGCCCTGAGGCAGGAAGGAGCTCGCAGTGTTTAAGGGACAGATAGGAGGCTCAGGACAGCACGGTGCTCACGCCTGTGATCCCAGCATTTTAAGAGGCCAAGGTGGGAGGATCACTTGATCCCAGGAATTCAGGACCAGCCTGGGCAGTATAGCAAGACCCAGACTCTACAAAAATATATAAAAATTAGCTGGATGTGGTGGGGCATGCTTGTAGACTGAGCTATTTGGGAGACTGAAGGGGGAGGATCCCTTGAGGCCAAGAGTTTGAGGTGACAGTGAGCTATGATCGTGCTACTACATTCTAGCCAGGATGACATGAGGCCCTTTCTCTTAAAGAGAGAGAGACAGACACACAGAGAAAGAGACAGAGAGACACAGAGACACATACAGAGAGGTGGAGGGAGAGAGAAAGAGAGAGACAGAGAGAGGTGTTCCTGTAGCCAAAGAAAGGCCCCATAGCAGTCCAAGAGAGGTGTCTGTAGCAGTCAGCGAGGATGCTTGTGCACCGCCGGGACACCATGCGGCTCTTCTGGCGTGCGTGCCTGTGGAGAGTCCTGCTCCCCGGTGCCGCCCAGTCCCGCAGCCTCCCCTCCCTCTCCTCCTTCCATGGCTGCTGTCACAGGCCCCGAGGCCCTGTCTGTTCCCTGACCCTGAGAAGCATGACTGCACGTCTCCTGCAGCTCCCCAGAGCAGACACTGAGATAAGGATTTGGGTACAGGTCGGTATTTGGGGAGGTGGTCCCAGGAGACATGAGTAGGGGAGAGGGGAAGAGAGGTGGGGAAGGGAAGGAGCCAGTTAAGATGTGTTAACAGGCACATCCCTGCTGAGGGCACCTGGGGCCGGGTCCCATAAGAGTCCACATCCACTGACACCCACAGAGCCTGACAGTATCCCTCTCCCGGGTGCTGTGGCAAGCCCCACGCATTGGACAAACCATAGTCCCAGGTCAGAGAAAGTCCTCAGGCTGAGCATCACACTGACTTGTGAGAAACCCTAGCCTCAAGGGAACCCAAGAGTGCCGAGAAGATCTGTCCCATGTGGACACAAGTGGCTGCCTGAGGTGACCCAGGCTCTGCCTCTACCATCTTGGCGGCCAGATCCTTGAGAGCACTGCCAGCTCGGACTTTCTTCAGTCTCAGAGAGAGTCACTCAGACCTGGGGCCCAACTCCCGCTCCATCTCTATGCAGCCTTAAATAAGTGTCTTCAGGCCGGGCTCGGTGGCTCAGCCTGTAATCCCGTGCCTTTGGGAGGCTGAGGTGAGTGGATTGCCTGAGCCCGTGAGTTCGAGACCCGCCTGGGCAGTGAGACCTCAGCTCTACAATAAACCAAAAAATCAGCCGGGCGTGGTAGCACATGCCTGTAATTCCGGCTACTCGGAAGGCTGAGGCGGAAGGATCGCCGGAGTCCAGCGGGTCGAGGCTGCGGTGGCCGGGAGCGGCCACTGCACTCCAGTCTGCGCGACTGAGTGAGACTCCAACTCAAAAAATAAAAAATAAGTGTCTTCACTTCTCTGAGCCGTGGTTTTCCTCATCTGTAAAATGGGGCTTATGGCACTAACTGCCTAGGGAAGTTATTGAGGATGAAATTAAATGCCTGGTGCATAAGGCCTGGCACACAACTAGCGTTCCACAAATGGCAGTTATGACGGGTGCCTCGGGCCTAAGGCTGCAGCTCTCCCTCCTCTCTTGAGAGGAGAAGCTGGGAGCATGGGGGCCTCAGGCCCAGATCAGCCATTCTTGGGCCCTACAAGTACAGGGAAGAACAGGCTGGGGTGTGGCCGAGAGGCCTGTCCTTGGTCCTCGTCTGCTGCCACCCACTGGGACAGGCCTGGGAGGCAGACAGAGCTCAGAGAGGGTAGCACAGTTGTGAACCTTCAAGGCCTTCCCCCAACATAGGCACAGCAGCTCTGGGACTGCAGGAAGGGCTGAGGAGGGCAGCCTCACAGTCCAGAAGAACCCGGAGCAGCGGGCCGGTGTCAGTTGGCACTAGACTGGGGAGAGGTCGTGGAGCTGGCCCGTAGGAGTGGCGTTGGAGGAGTCAGGAGGAGAGCAGAAGGCAGTGAGGTGGGTGCAGCAGGAACACTGAGCTCACCCCCTGGGGGGGGACTCGGCCATCCCGGGTTTTAGGCTGCTGGGAAGTGGCCTCATCAGAAGGTGTCTGGGAGGAGTTCCACCTAAGGACAGCTACAGCTTTAAAATCCTGATGCCGTCCGGCCAGTCGTCTGTCCTTTCACTCACCTCTCCCTCCCTTCCCCCCTTCTTCCCTCCATCCATTAATCTACTTACTCCTCTATCTTATCTCCTGCCTACCTACTTATCCGTAGATTCATACACTCATCTGTTCGTCCAACCATCCACCCACCCATTCACCCACTCATTCACTGATCTATTCATCCATCCAGCTACACACCCTTCCGTCCGTCCGTCCATCCACCCATCCACCCACCCGTCTTCTCACCTATCCATCCATCCATCCATCCATCAATCCACCAGTCCATCTACCCACTTGCCTATCTACCCATTCATCCAGGTATCCTTCATCTACCCATCCCTTCATCCATCATCTCATCCACTGACTCACCTATCCCTCTATCCCTCCATCTGTCCGCCCATCCATCAGTCAATCTACCTATCCATTCATTCACCCATCCATCCACTCACCTATCACTCATCCACTCACCCCATCTGTGTATTGGCGCATCCACCCATCCACCCACCCATCCACCCATCCACCCATCCATCCATCCACCCATCCATCCACCCACCCATCCATCCACCCATCCATCCATCCACCCATCCATCCATCCCTCCACTCTTCCGTTCACTCATCTATTCATCCACCCATCCATCCATCCGTTTGCCCACCTATCCACTCACCCATCCACCCACCCCCTCACCCATCCACTCACCTATCCATCTATGTGTTGAACTCATCCACTCACTCATCTATCATCCGTCCACCTGTCCATTCTTCCCTCCATCCACCCACTCATCAATCCATCTATGTATTGATGCATTCATTCAGTCACTCATCTATCCACCTATTCATCTGTCTATCCATCCTTCCCTCCATTCACGCATTTACCCACCCATCCACCTACCAACCCACCCATCCATCCATCCACTCAATTATCCACCCATCCACCCACTTATCCACCCATCCACCCAGCCAGCCATCCACTTACTCATCCATCTGTTCACCTACCATCCATTCACTCACCCATCTATTTACCATCCCATACATCCACTCATTCAGCCATCCACTCATCCATCTATTCACTCATTCATCCACCTGTCCATACATCCATCCACCCACCCATCCACTAACCTCTCCATCTATCATCCATCCATCCATCCAACCACTCACCTGTCCATCCATCCACACACCTATCTACCACATCGCCTCCTCTGTTCCCAGCTGGACTCTGAAGACTCAGGTGCTCAGATGCAGGCCGTGGCTTTGAGAATCCATCCTCCTCTAGCAGCCATCAACAGTCCCACAGCTGGGTCCTCTTTTCACTCAGTGCCATGACAGAGCCCAAGAAGGAAACCCAGGCTCAACCTCTTCATCACGGTCCTAAGAAGCATGGGACCTAATGGCAACACTTCAACTTGATTCCCTTCTGGGTTTCTCACGCTCTGAAAATGCAAGCCCGAGGCAACCACATACCCCATGAAACATTGAGATGCCCCAGAAATTCCAACATAGTGGGGTCCAAACTCTGCCTCACTCAGCCTGCCTCTTCCACCCCACACTCCTTAGCACCTCTGCCAGGCCACTCACTCCAGTTTTTGACTGAGGTCCTGTGGCCGCTGAGGCCATGCCTTGGGCTTCAGGTTCCCAGGTGGCCAGCTGTGACCCCGTGTTCACTGACCTCTCCCGGAAGTACTTGATGGCCTCAGGGTCTATGAAGGTCGGCTCCTCCCGGTAGCCCTGCTCAAACACCTTGCGCTTGTGCCGGAACTCAATGACCGTCTTGGTGTAGGAGTTGAGCGTGGTGACAGAGGCTGCCATGCAGCAGGTAAAGGAGCCCCATGCCAGGCTGCCAAGAGACCAGGAGAGAGATGCCACAGTGAGGATGGGTGAGGGACGGGAAAAATCCCCCACCCGCCAAACACCCATTCAACACTGCAGCTGCCTCCTTGGGCAGATCCTGTGCAGGCACTGTGTAGAGAGGGGTAAGACTTGGCCCCTGCCACACTCAGTCTTGTTTGAGAGACAAAGAATTTTCTGTACATGGCAATACATTGTAAATATGACAGCGTTCATTATGGGGAGACAAGAAGAGAGTGATTCATTCCATCCAAGGGGGCCGGCATCAAGGACGGTTACCCAGAACACATCAATGCCTTTGCTGGGTCTGGTAGGATGAGTAAGAGTTGGCCAAGAAAAAGGGCATTTTTCAGGAAAAGGTAATAGCATGTACAAAGGTATAGAGAAATGAGACAGCAGGCAGCATTCCACAAACTGTCAAAGATTTGGAATGCTGAAGTGAAGATGCATGAGGAGATTAATCCAAGTTGGTGATGGAGAAGGAGATGGGGGTCAGATACCCTAAATGCTCTTTTTTCATGAGAGTTAAATTACCTGTGTTCATGTATGGCCCTAGGAAAGATGCCAACCTTTCTGCCTCATGTTCCTCATGTCCATTTTTGGTTTTTCAGATGAGGGCTTGCTATGTTGCCCAGACTGGTCTCAACCTCCTGGGTGTAAGTGAACCTCCCACCACAGCCTCCCGAGTAGCTGGAATTACAGGTACTACCACATCTGGCACTTCCTCATGTCCATTTTAATGAATGGAACAATAATACTACCTCACAGGTTGTTGCAAAGATTAAAAGTGCTCTAGTAACATCTTAGGATAGTGTCTGGCACACAGTAAGCACTCAAGAAAGGCTTGTTATCATGATTATCATCACTGTTAACATTGGCTTCCCAATTTTATTTGACTTGGTTTGCAAGCTTTCCCTCTGAGAGAAGAAGTTATAATGATCTACTTGGCGCTCTCCTCCACAACTTTTTCTCTCCATAGCTGGGACTCTTGGCTGCCCTCACCTGATGTGTGTGCTGAGGCCAGCCCAAAACTGGAGAATCTGTCTCATGCATACTTGAGCTAGGAGACTCAGTTGATCTAGTTCCAGTTCTATACATGGCCTCCTGTCTGACTTCTCTGACCAAGACTGTGCATTCAACATTTAGTACCAGGAGTGGGGTGTCTGCCTGGCTCTAGCTGCACCTGGCCTGGTTTCTGGGTCCCCGTTCCCAAGTCTCTGCCTTGGTAAGTGGTTTCTTCCAAATCAAGGGCTCAGTTTTGCTGCTCTAATCCTGCACTGCCTGAGAGCTCCAGGTCACTCCTACCGCTGGCCAATCCAGCTGATCTCTGAACATCACCCTTGCATCCCCAAAGTCACTGTTGCCCACCATTTGCACCCATTGCTCTTCTTTTTGTCAGCCTCTGAGTACCTCAGAAAGAAACAAGGAAAAATCGGAGAATTCAGCTTTTCTCAAAGGGATACGCTGTAATCATCTATTTCCCTTAACACCAAACCCATTAATAGATTCCCTTGATTATTTTATAACAGGGCACTAAATTGGACCTTCCAGGAGCTCTAGGTATCTGTAATAGACAGTTTGGGATGTCTATCAACCTGGTCCCCCGAAGATCTTTCCTGTCTACTAAAAGGTCAAGTGTGTAGCTTACTCCCCTGTTTATAGATGACTGGACTGGGGCTGAACATCCGGACAAAGCTGGTCCAATCAGATATACTCTCTCTTGGTCAATAAAGCTGAAGCTTCTAGTTCAGTATGGGATGTCTTTTTGTACTAGCATCATGGAAATGAAACCTCTTAAATAAAATAAAAGGCCACACAGTGAGAATTGTAACAGGGGCCTGAATTCTGTTAAGATATAAGCTTAGCTAAATAATAAGGTTCTCTTTGACCTTTTTTTGGCCATGCATATCCTAGCCCTCAGGGCAGCCTACAAGACTAACATACTTGCTTTTCTCTTGAAGAATAATGGACTATAGGTCATGCAGACCTCCTTGATGGTATCTGGAAGTTTAATTGGTCAAAGGGTGTGAGTAGCTTTGATTACTAGGAATCCTTCCACCTACATCTATTGTTCACAAGGCTTGTAACTTTTCCAGTTGCTCCTATAGATAAAATAAGCCTAAGACTTGTGTTTGAGATGTTGTGCAGACTCTGTATTAAAGTAGACCAAATGACGCCAATCAGACCAGTGATCTGTGACCCCCACCCAAAAATTGGACTGATGCACAAAGACATTCTGGACATCTCTGTGATATAATCCTCAACCAATCAGCAGGCCCAATTCCCTAGCTCCTGCCCACCAAATTACCCTTAAAAACTCGAGCTTCTGAATTCCCAGGGAGGTGGATTTAAGAACTATCTCTCATCTTCTTCACTTGGCTGCTTAGCGATGTTAAACTTTCTACTGTAACAGCTACTGTCTTAGTCTTGGCTATTCTAGGTAGTGGGCATAAGAACCCCGTGAGGCTTAAGAGAAACTCATAACTTGAGGATGGAGGATGGCAAAGCAGACTTGGTCTGGGGTTCCATGGGTGTGGTGGTTTCGCCTGACTGGCTTCCTTCTTCCTGTTGGTAACAGCACCCTGATTCTGGGAAGGGCTCACTCCTCCTTTGCTCTCAGGCAATGAGGTGTGTGGGGGGCTGGCCAGTGAGAGCGCTGCTTCCCCTCTTACCCCCACAGTAATTGGTCCAGGGTCGGGCATGTGATCTACGTCAGGCTCATAAGACTGAAGCCCTGGACTTTGGTTGAAGCTACTGAGAAACAGGGTTCATCTTTCTTATGGGGTGCTAAACTGATAAGATTTGAGCCAGAAGCAGCTGAGGAGCTGCTTGCCACCACCTGACCTGAGAATGAAGCTGATCCGAAAAAATGCAGAGCCATGAAAAGGAGCGAGATCCTCCTCAGCTGAAGCCATTATCCCTAGGCTATTCAATCATGAGAGCCTAAATTCCTCTTTTTTATTTTATTTTATTTTCCTCCCTAAAGCTAGTTTGAATTGGGTTTCTGTCAATGAAAAAACATTTCTTATATAATCAGTTTCTACAAATTCCCTTCTTCTGCATAAGTTGATTGAAGTGAATTTCTGGTTTACAACCAGGGATCTGAACTGTGACCAAATTTGACTTAACCCTGATGGCCCACTAGGGGATGGAGCAGAAGTTTCTCAAACTGAAGGCCTGAGCAAAGTGAAACACCCCGCAGGAGTGGCAGAGTCCAGTGACTGAGTGTGGTGAAGGAGCTTTCCTGGGAGGGACTGGGATTACTAAAGCCCAAGATACCCAAAAAGAGATGCTATGGGGTGAAGTAGAGGCTGACAGGCAACTAAGGCAGGCTGACCTGGAAGAAATGCCCATATCCCTGCCTACCCATCTGCATTACACACAAGACCTTTGACCAAATAAAATGCTTGATCCTTGATCTTGCTCCCTTGGGCTCTCCACATTCTAACCACATGGCCTCCTTCTACTAAAAAAACCCCAAAGCTCTTCCCCAACCCTAATCCCACCATGGGATGTCACACCCTTGAATGTCACTCTTCCTCAGTGATGTTCCCTGTCCACCATCTCTAAGAAGCACCCTCCCTATCACTGTACCACACATCCCTGTTTAATTTCATCGTGGCCCTCATCACATTCTATAATTCTCTTGTATTTTGATAGAAATTGCATTAGACCTGTATACTAACTTAAGAATTAATATCTTCACTATGTTGAACATTCTGATCCATGAACATAGTATATCTCCCCATTTATTGAGATCTTCTTTTACTTCTTTCATTGGTATTTTATATAGTTTTATGGTTTTCAATGTATAAATGTTTTGTTACACTTATACCTAAGCACTTCACTTTTTTGGTATAAATGGTATTGCATTTTAAATTTTATTGTCCAAATGTTCATTGATAGTTTATAGAAATAAATTGATTTTGTGCTTTTGTCTTGTATCCTAAGAATGTACAGAATTTATATATTGGGTCTAGGAATTTTTTGGTAGATTCTTTGGATTTTTATATATAAATAATCATATCATCTACAATTGGTATAATATCTTTCTTTCCAATCTGTATGTCTTTTATTTCCTTTTCATGCTCTATTACAGTAGCTAGAACTTCCAGCACTATGTTGAATAACAGTGGTGTTCCCAGTCTTAGAGAGAAAGCATTAAGTATTTCTACATGAAGTATAATGTTGGTTGTAGGTGTTTTGTAGATACTCTTTATCAAGTTGAGGCAGTTTCTCTCTATACCTAATTTTCTGGAATTTTTTTTTTCTTCAAAAAACGTTTTTTAGTTTTAAAGATGTGGGATATAATTTAGGATTAGGTATACAAGTGGTCATCATACAGGTAAAGTTTGGGCCTTCCTTTGGTTCCCACTTTGCCTGGTTTGAGAGCAGGTATGCTTATTGATGTTGTATCCCCCCCTTCTTTTCTGGGAATTTAAAAAAAAATTATGAAAGGATGCTGAATTATGTCAAATGCTTTTTCTGTATCAATTGATATAATCATGCAATTTTTCTTCTTTAGCCTGTTAATATGGTAGATGACATTGACTGATTTTCAAATACTGAATCTAGCTTCATCCTTGGAATAAACCCCACTTACCAGAGTGTATGATTCTTTTTATATATTGCTAACTCTTATGTGCAATTATTTCTTTAAGGATTTTTGCATCTATATTCACAGGGGCTATTAGTCTTTGGTTCTTTTTGCACTGTCTTTGACTTTAATATCAGGATAATACTAGTTTCCTAAAATAAATTGCAAAGTGTTCTCTTCTCTTTTATCTTCTGAAAGAAAATGTGCCAATTTTTATTGAAATATTTGGTGGAATGTTATAGTAAAACCATCTAGGCATGGAGATTTCTTTTCTGAAAGTTTTAAAATTAAATTATGAACTCAATTTCCTTAGTAGTTATAGGGATAGTCAAATGACCTGTTTTATATTGAGTGAGTTGTGGTAGTTTGCCCTTTTAAAATAATTGATCCAA